ATCTTGGCATCAAAACCATAAATCAAAGTTATGTTATTTTTATGCAAAAAGTCTATAAGAGGCTTCCTATCATCAATGAAAATAGATAATGTCTTTTTTCTAATCAAAGAAATCAGTTTAACTGTTTCAAATATGTCAACTTCACCAACCATTCCGACATAGAATCTTTCTAACTATGCACATATAATAATTCTGCTGCTTTAATCATATATTGAAATAGTCTTCCATGGCTTTTATCTAAATATTTATCCTTTAATCCTTAAAAGACAATTTCCTGCTTCAGTTGAATATTAATCTTTAAAATCCTCTGTACCAATAATCCATCCTTTTATAAAAGGCGCCCATATCCAGGATGAAATCGTGTGGCCTGCAGGGATGCTGACGGGGAGAGTGGCTTGCACTTCTTCCCCAACAATGAGACCCATAGTTATTTAAATCAATGGAATTAAAATGTACAATCACCTGCTTCTAGTTGGTAGGCTGTCTTGGAAACAGTAGAAACTGCTGCCTGGATGGCTTCACTGGTATGGACATGTCCAGAGAGCAGCACCTTCCACCGTTGCCAAGACAGCCTACCAACTAGAACCTGATGGCTGGCAATCTTGCAGTCATCCAAAACAGAGATGGCAAGATACCATCAAGAGACACAGCTAACCATGCAAAGTGGTATTCAATTATCTGAAAAGCAGACCCTACATCTGCAGGAATACACTTGGAGGAGGAGGAGGAGGAGGAGGAGGAGGAAGAAGGAGGAGGTTTTAATTCATCTTTGTTCTTATTTTAATAGCAGCCACTTTAATGGAGTGTGGTCATCCAGCCATTGGCCTGTCACTCTCCCCTAGCTGAGCCGTGTTTATAGGGCTGTTTTGAGATATTAAAATTAGGAGAGGATCCAATATAGACCCCCTGAGAGCTCTTTTCTGCTGAGTTATAAGTGCAATAAGTAAATAAAAAGAAACAATTTGGTGTGCCATAGGCTACTGAATGGTTTGTTGGTTTGTTGTGAGGCTTCAGTGGTATATTTTATTTGTTGTGAAGCCGGTTCCCTTTCATTTCTTTCCTAATTTCCCCTTTCCCTAGAGGGAAAATCTACCCTGATTAAGCGTCAGTATTCTGTTCTGCTTCATTTTGCCCCCTGCTTGCTCATAAAAATTGTGCCTGGCTTTTAGCCCTGCTGAAATAAGTCCCCAAATTAAAGGAGAGCAGATATTATGGGAGAGATCTGATTGTTGACCTGGCATTAATACCCATTCCTGCACCGTATAATCTTTCTTCTACTCTGATGATATATCAGGCACTCTGTAAGTGGGTCATTTTAGTTTGCATTGTGAGTCTGCTTTTATAGGGATGTCAATCTTTCTCTGTCCCTGTGTTTCAGCTCCAGTGAAATAGTGAAGTTAACTCTCTATGATGATTCCATGAACAATGAACATTCGATTACATGCCACTCCCTCTTATTCATTTCCCTATAAATAAAAGATAAATGTATTTTCTCAGGCAAATGCTAATTTAACCCTGCAATAAAATGATGGCTCTGTTTAAACTTTGAGTCCATATACATCTAATTTATAAAGGAAAGCAGTTTAATTTGGGGGGTAGGGATGTGAGATAGGCTTAATATATAGTGGACAGAAATTAACCTCTGGCAGCATTTGAAATATTTTAGCTATTATGGGTTCTTCTTCAGAAAGAACTGTCTTGAAAAAATAGAAAACGCTGCCATTACCCATTTTGAATTTTCAATTTTTAAATATTTGGGAGTTTTTTCAAGCTGTTGCTTTCCACCCCAATGCTGACCTTATCACAAATTGCTTCTGACATTATTCTTTTTTTTAAAGCCTCTTAATATAGATGCCATTGTTGAAGAGAAAGGCTTTGACAAATATCTAGGATGAAAAAATTCTTTGGCATGATATTGCATAATTGTGTTTGCATCCGTAAGAAGCCTTTGACTTCTAAAATTTAAATTCAAGCTAGCTTCTCTTCACATTGATGAAAAGCAGATTTTCCACTTCTGCCATGCAGATGGTAATTCGTGAAGTGAACCTTTGCCCCCTTATCTTATTCCTGTTCCTTTTTGTCTCTCTTATATAACCTTACCCAAACTCAACCCAAACTCCACCTCACCCCAAATTGGACAAACAGGGATCATGCAAATTTGGACAGTGCCATAGTCAATCAATCAGATTAGAGCTGGAAGGGACCTTGGAGGCCTTCTAGTCCAACCCCCTGTTCAAACAGGACACCATATACATTTCAGGCAAGTGGCTGTCCAGTCTCTTCCTAAGAAACCTCCAGTGAACCTCCCTACAGCTTCACGAGGCAAGCTGTTCCAATGGTTAATTGTTCTCGCTGTTAGGAAGTTTCTCCTTAATTTCAGGTTGCTTCTCTTCTTGATTAGTTTCCATCCATTGTTGGATGTAAGAGGGTACACCAACTCTTCCATCAGGTCGAGGAATGGTGACTTAGGTTTCCACAAACAGTGATGTTCATTCGGTCAGTTTGTGATTGAAGCACCAGGCTAGAAACCAGAAGACTGTGAGTTCTTGTCCCATCTTAGGCACAAAGATAGTTGGGTGACCTTCTGTCAGCCTAGGAAGGGGACAATGGCAAACCACTTTTTAAAAATCTTGCCAAGAAAATTGCAGACACTAATGTATGCAGTTGCCAAAATCTATGCAGGAGTCAAAAACCAACTTGAATACATATACACACAGCAATGATGTTCACATACAGGATTACTTTCCATTATCTTCAGAGAAGGAAGTGGTGAAAATTAACAGTATATTTGTAATATTTGCTGAACTTCCAAATAGACCCAATGTAAATCTAGATAAATAAATTCTTTCTGGTAGGTGCCACACACTTAAAAAAAAGCAGTTTGGTGGCCCACTCATCCCATCCCAAAATATGCATATCTAGTTTCCAATAAGCTTTAGTTAAGAATTCCTCATGGACCTACAGTACATGGCCATTAGGAGACCCAAAATGCTGGGCCTTTGATTTGATGTAACATCAGATTTAAATCATTTATGTTTTACATCCCTGTATTCTTAACTTCGACATACACCATACTCAATGTGGCACAGAAATACAGATGTCCTAAAGACATAACATATAGCAGTCTGGAAAGAAACAGATTTCTGAAAGAAAAGAGGTTAGATTTATGTATGCACAATGTTCGGTGAAAAAAGCAGTCATCATACCTCCTACATATTCTATGCCTGGAGATTTGTTCCATATTCCAAGTTATTCCATATTCCAGCTCCTTGCCAAAACTATGGTCACAAGCCATGGTATCCCCATCTTCAAAAAGGGAGACCCCAGCCTAGTTGAAAATTACAGACCAATCTCTTTATGGTGCATCACCTGTAAAGTCATGGAATCAATTATTAACCAATCCATTATCCTCCACTTAGAGACAAACAACCTACTCTCTAGTAAACAATTTGGTTTCAGGAAAAAACTATCCTGTAATCTGCAACTCTTATACTGAAAAAACATATGGACTACACAACTCGATCAGAACAAAGCAATAGACGCAATCTACATAGACTTCTGTAAAGCCTTTGATTCAGTGGTACATGACAAACTAGCACTAAAACTAAAATCTTATGGTATCTCTGGACACCTGCATAACTGTATAGAAGCATTCCTGTCAAACAGACAACAAATGGTCAAAATTGGGAGCATCCTATCAAATTCTGTACATGTCAATAGTGGTGTCCCCTAAGGCAGTGTTCTAGGACCAACTCTCTTCATACTTTACATAAATGACCTCTGTGATCATATTAAGAACAACTGCGTTCTCTTCGCAGATTATGTAAAGCTATTAAAAACACCACAGAAAATACTACTACCCTCCAAAAAGACCTCGACTGTGTATCAGAATGGCCAATCAAATGGCAACTTCAAATCTCAACAAATAAATGCTCTGACTTACATATTGGCAAAAAAATCAGAAAATAAAATACAAGCTGAATACTCAAGACCTTGTTGATGATCCAAACTCTGTCAAGGATCTTGAAGTACTCGTCTCTAATGATCTAAGTGCTAGAGCCCACTGTAACTACAAGGCATTAAGAGTTGTTAACCTACTCCTACGTAGCTTTTTTCTCTGGTAATATTACACTACTAACTAGAGCATACAAAACATTTGCTAGACCAATACTTGAATACTGGAACCCACATTACGTATCTGATATTAGCACAGTTGAGAAAGTCCAGAAATATTTCACAAGAAGAGTTCTCCGCTCCTCTAATTGTTGCAGAATACCTTATGCCATCAGACTCGAAACTCTAGACCTAGAAAACCTAGAACTACACCGCCCTCGGTCAGATCTAAATATAGTATATAAAATCATACATTGCAATGTCTTACCTGTCAATGAATACTTCAGCTTCAACCATAACAATACAAGAGTACACAAATAGATACAAACTCAAGGTTAACCGCACCAAATTTGATTGCAGGAAATACGACTTCAGCAACAGAGTGGTCAATGTCTGGAATACTCTACCTGACACTGTGGTTTCTTCCCCAAACCTCAAAAACTTTAATCTTAAACTGTCTACTGTTGACCTCACCCCTTTCCTAAGAGGCCTGTAGGGGGCGTGCATAAGCGCACCAACGTGCCTACCATCTGTGTCCTATTGTTTCTTTTTATTTTTCTTATATGTATCCATTTCATATATTCATAACTATGTTTATACTTATACCTATTATCTTGTAAGCAATTGACAAATCAAATAAATAAATAAGTAATAAATAAATATTTCATTTAGAACCCTTTAGGTCTTAGCATCTTGCTAGGTTATTTCATGGTGCAATATTGGTTGATAGATTTATTAAATATACTAAATCAAAATTTAGTTTAAAATCATACCCAGAAGAGATTGGAAATTCTGTGTTGAATTAGAAATACAGTACAGAAAGAAAAATCCAGTTGTTTGGTCTTTATACCATAAATTTTCTTTTGCCTGTTCTTATGTCTTTACAGATCTGTCTTAATCGCCGCTGCCAAAACACCAGTATATTTGGTGTTCATGAATGTGCGACAAAATGTCACAGACGTGGGGTAAGCATTACAGATTCAATTTTTTATAGTTAGTCAATCTCCAGCTGAGCAATAAATCATTCATTGATTACAGCGCTTAAAACGGTGATTTTTTTGTAATATATCTGTCAGGTTTTTTTCAGCCTCTGCTTCCAGAAAGATCAATTTTCAATGCCCTTTCAATGTCCAAGAAAGGAAATGTGGCTTTTATTTGACAAAGCAATATTGCTGGTCACGGTGACCTTATCTTTACAAAAATTAACATTCAGCAGTTTAAAAACTAGAATGAATTCACTTATGCTCTTGTTAATGTTTCAAGCATAATAGGCTGGGGTGAAGGATTCTTTCAAATATATCCATCTGTTTGGAACAGAGGATAGGCATGTTCAGCCAAGGAGATGTAACAGAACTGAAATATTTTTAAAATGTTTTACAATAAAAATGAAGTGAAAACATTTACTGAGTCAGGCCATCCTAAGGAAATGTTCAGGGAGAAAATCAATTATGAAATTAAAATATAAATATATTAAAAGCATAATCCACCATTACTGTAAACAGTGTTTCAGATAATCAAACAAGACAGAATGTATATATGATAATAGGAGCTGATATGATTTCTTTCTGTCTTGGATGATCAACCTTCTAAATTTCAACGATGGCGGCTCCTTTTTAGGCAGTGCTTAACTTAGCCACATATGCTTAAATATTTTGCATATTTTGTTCTAGCATACATCAGCGTTCACAAGTATTTTGGTAAGACACTTAACTATCTATGCCCAAACCACAAATGAGAACCCACTGGTCACCTATTTTCATTGTAGCTTCTTCAGTCTTGTGAGACTAGGTGCAATTTAAACTTATTTAGCAAATCTGAGAACTAAACTTATTCACAATAATGCATATATAACACTCTAGGGACAAACAAACTCTTTGAAAAATGGGCTGCCTTTCCATAATCTTCTAGCATGCCAATAATCTAGTGACAATATTGTTAGGTAACTATGGCCATTGGGAAACCCAAAATGCTGGGGCCTTGATCTGTTGTAAGATCAGATTTACATCCTTTGGAATTGCAGCTTCCAAACTAGTAAATTGACTACATTCCTTCAAGGGGACATTGTAGAAGAAAAAATGCTATCAAAATCATTCTGGACGCAGGTACTGTAATCCTACACTCTTTAATTCTGGAGTCAGTTAGTTTTGTTCCACTTGGGAGTTACATTTGGAACAATCTATAAAAGGGTGTAGTCTTTGTAACATCACAAAGTATGATTGCTGTACCTTATTTACTTTTTTTATTTTTATGATAGGCATAAATCTTTGGTAGTGCTTTCCATGTTCATATGTGTACATGCTTTTGCTTTTGAGGTCTGCAACAATAAAAAAAATTGCCACTGTGAGGCTCATTGGGGTCCTCCCTTTTGTGACAAGGCAGGATTTGGCGGCAGTGTTGACAGTGGGCCAGTACGACAATCTGGTGAGTAAACAGACAAAAGAAAAGAAAAGATAAATGGAGGAACTGGTTTTGGACATCAGATTATCTAGGGATCTAGTTTTTTTATCTCAGTATCCACTTCTAGCTGCCATTGCAGATATAAACAAATAGGATTGTGTAAGGTGGTGCCTTGTTTCACTTTAATTGCAAAAGTAGTTACAGATGTAATTCACTGATTGTGCCTTTGTCCATTTATGGTAACAAAAGACTCTCCTCCATAGACCTTCCCAAATAAATTCTTTCTCTTCCATTGTTTTGTGCTGGCACATCTTCATGTCTTTCACCTTTGTCCTGTTGACTCTTTTATATAATAAATAACATTGGGTCTTTCAGATGATAGCAGCATAATATAAGTGACAGACTGGAACAAGCAATGTAATACAGTGAGAGGAAACTTAAGATCACTGATGAACTCTTGGAAGGACTGTGTTTTTTAATCTTCTTCTCCATATCTACCCATTCCTTCATCTGATTGAATGCTGTGCTTTTTAAACCCCATTGTCCTGAAAGATAAGGATTATAGTCACTGTCCCTTAGAGCCAAAGATCAGGATTGTAGTTTCTGTCCCATAGAGCCAGAGCAATGGTAAATTTGAGTCCTCACATAATAATGTTGGAGGTTGAACCATTCTAAATATGCTTCCAAGCATCCCTGAGAATGATTTAATACTTACAACAGAAGGTGAATTTATTTATAGGAAATATATAGGCAAAGGCCTAGGATCTAGCTGCCACAAGGAAGTGCCTGAAGGCAGGACAAGAAAGCGCCTGAAGGTGGGACAAGAAGGAAAAGATGGAAACTAATCAAGGAGAGATCCAGCCTAGAAATGAGAAATTTCCTGATAAAACTATCAATAACTGGAACAGCTTGCTTTTGGAAACTGTGACAGCTCCATCACTGGAGGTTTTAAAAAAGAGATTGGACAGTCATTTGTCCAGAATGGTATAGGGTCTCCTACTTGAGCAAGTTGGACTAGAAGACCTTCAAGGTTTCTTTCAACTATTCTATTCTATTCTATTCTATTCTATTCTATTCTATTCTATTCTGTTCTGTTCTGTTCTGTTCTGTTCTGTTCTGTCCTATCCTATCCTATCCTATCCCATTCCATTCCATTGTGCCTGCAGAAAAAGTATCTCCAATTAGCAGTGTTGGACAAGAATAGAGAGAATGAAAGGTAAAGAGAGAATGCAGAGGAAAATCTTAACTCTATATTTACACACTACTGCTGCTTTGTTGCAAGGAGGACATGGGGTACTGCAAAATCAGCACTATTAGATTTGCACCTCAAACAAATAATTTCACTGTATTTAAATTCTGCAGAGCAAACTTCATGGGTGTTTTTGTTAGCGCTATCCCATACAAAGTTTGGGAATTTCCAAGAGGCAAAAGTAATTTTCTCCCATTAATTGTAAATATCAATGTTTCATTCCTAGAAGGCTCTGAAATTTGTTAATATTGAATTGCTCTTGCAGAATAATGAAATTAACTTTTTGCTAAGGGAAATGGCAAACATCCTTCCATTAGGGTAAAATAGCTAAACATATTTTGCAGAGATGTTCAGGGAGATTAGGTAACATAGCCAGCTGTGAAGTTATACACGTGTGAAAAAGGCAGATGTAACACTAGGTTCCTCATATGGGTCACTTAAACTTCATCTGCATATAGCATACTTTGCTATCCTAGACAACAGCCCTAATCTTAAACTGTCTTGGCTTAATAAATCACAGACAGTATAGACTTCAGTTTTGATATCATTAGATTATTGATGACATTTTCCACATCATTCTTTCGATTCTTTAACTAAAGATGTGTTAACTAATTAAGTAGGAAACTTAGTAATAACTAAGTTGATTCAAGTAAGATCCACTGATTCGTATAAGATCACCTCACACAACTGTCATTCAAGAAAAAGAATTTAGAAGGTATACAGGTGAGTAGGAGCACATACACATGCATTGATATTTTTTTTGAATTTTAAAATTTAAATATCTGTGATCCTCCAAGTTAACTTTGTTAAAGAGCTACATATTAAATAAACAGCTATACCTAGGCAGTAGGTATATAATAATAATTGCTAAGAAAAGCAGAGTCCTTCCCAGCCTATGTACTTAAGAATCATCAATTTTTCCACAGGGTTCATTGTATGTGTGGATTAATAGGAAAACTTTTCTAGTTTCTTAACCTTTCATTTTTTGGCACTCCCCTAAAAATATATTTATTCTGCCTGCAAGTCTTAAGACAGCTTTATCTGTGCCTGAAATTGGGTAGGAATTGATTTTCCTCTTGTAAATCATATACAACCAAACCTTTGAAGTCTGTAAAGATATTTCTGTGTTGACTGGGTGTAAGAACAGAATCAGCGCTACATTCATGCCTACCATTGAAGTTTGGAAATGCTCTCAATTTGGAGGGGTGGAAGGGATAGACAGCATTATTCCAATTAAATGAGATGGCATTTACTGCAAAGTTATGGTAGTGAGGTGAGTTTGTGACATCATACAAATCTCTGTATCAGTACAGTGGCATAATGATTTTATAGTAAAATGAAGTTTAGATTTTTTTAAAAAAACGTTCTTATTCAGACAAGAATCCCTTCTTGGAATTATAATAGCAAAAACAAAACAAAAAATCCCAGGAGTTGAATAAGTGAATTTAATCACAGTTCAACATTACTTATATTCAGCAGCATTCCTACTGACTATATAAAGCCAAGTAACAACACTGTGAAGTTTGGATGTGCTCATGTCTTTGCATTGTGCTTTTTCATTTGAAGCCTGTTTCATCCAACTCTTTATCATAACAAATAAACCTAATAAACTCCATGGATATGATCACATTAATGCTAAGCACATTCTGCTCAATCTCTTTCCTGGTAATTTAAATAGGATTGTGATATATTGATCTTTTTCCCATTGGTTTCAATTTATTCTGGAGGTCAAGGAAGGGCACAATCTGTCCTTTCACACATGCAGTGAATAGAATTGATAATGCCAACAAATAAATGGGTGCAGGATGGGAAGAGAGTAAAAAATGGCACCAAAAACATTAGGGATGCCTGATCTGTTTCATTTTTCCTGGCCTGTCACAAGATACAGTAGTAGCTTATGCTATTTGCCAGAAATGTAAGTCTCGGCCTTCAACAGAAGGACAAAGAAACATTCAAGTATTATTTATTTCAGAGCTAGTTAGTTTTGCTTGGAAGGAGATATCACAGGACAGATTTATGGCTGTGGTGGTGCAGTGATTAGAATACAGTATTGTAGGCTAACTCTACCCACAGTCAGGAGTTCAATTCTGACTGGCTCAAAGTTGACTCAACCTTCCATCTTTCCAAGGGTGGTAAATGAGGGCCCAGATTGTTGGGGGTAAATATGCTTACATTGTAAACCACCCAGAGAGTACTGTAAATCACTATAAAGTGGTATATAAGTCTGTGCTACTGCTATTGCATTTTAAATAAATATAAGTTAAAAATAAGTAGACACAAAATATTTTTAATTTTAAATAGAGGTAGAAATCCACTGTTCTGTGCTAAATTTGTATTTACATACGACTTTTTAAACTTCTCAAGAGCTGAACATCTGTGGGATGTTTACCACAATCAAACTAAAAAGGATGCATAAAATGATAAATTCGAATCTCCAATATATACCCAATATAAATTCAAGAAATAAATAAATAAATATCCAACCAAATATAAAGATACCATACAAACTAGGCAGAAGCAAGGAGGTTGACTTATCTAAAACAATGTGAATTAAACTATGATTAAAAAGCTTGGGAAAATGAAAGTCTGCTCCCCTGTGCCAAAATTAGGTCATGTGATCACCATTTGCATGCTTCACAGCCAAATTCTGACCCAGTCAGTGGATTGGCTGACAATAAAATTATAAGTTGCAATCATGTGATGTGTTGCTTAACTGTAACATCATGGATAAAGCGATGGAGTTGCTGGTCCCAACTGTGATAATTAAATGAGTCCTTCCTTCCTTCCTTCCCTCTTTCCTTTCTTCCTTCATCACACACCTATAAACATGCCTACAATCTCTTATCAATACTGATGTAATAGTTATATTGTGTTATATGCCCCAAAATGATAAAGAACATCAATTCTAGAAAGACAGGGCAATTTCTTGTGAAGGAGTGATGTGACTTTAATTTCCCCATATATGTTGGGCAACTTTGCTTAGTTTTTCTCAAGTGTGGCTCTTCAGATGTGCCAGAACTGTGCTTTCATAATCTCAACCAGAGTGGTCAATAAGGAACAGTGATCCCTATTTGGGTAAGACTATCGCCTTAGGGAAATCTAGTTTATTCATTGCTATATTATTTGAGCCATAGAAGATGAAAGCACAGAATATCTGTAACCATGCCTTTTATCTAACTTCAAAATTAGTCCTTAATAGTTCTGTGTGTGTGTGTGTGTGTGTGTGTGTGTGTGTGTGTGTGTGTGTGTGT